TCCTTGTGAGCCAGACTAGAAAGCTGTGAAATTATTGTTTCTATGTAGCTGTTACTGTAAATCTGAACCAAAATTTATTTAAAATCCTTAGCAAGTGAGAGTAATTGCTCGCTGTGCTGCCTGATGCATATATAACTTGTGCCATTGTAGCCGACTGGAACTGCTATCAAAGTAGACTCAGTGCTCTTGGTTGATTATAGATTCCAGTGGCCACGTCACAGAATCACTAAAAAAAAAGCACTACAGTGCTTTTTCTGATGATTTACATTGAATTTTAGGATAATGAATTGGTCTGAGAATTATTGATAAAAAATGACCACTAGAAGAAATATTTTTAATAGATAACTCTAGCCCAAAATTAGACCTTGGAAGGAGAGCCTTAGGGCAGCCTAAATTTGGCTGTTGTTAAATTTGAAATTACCTGTAGCCAGTTAATTTCCTTTGTGAGTTAATAAAGCTACAGGCTAGATAAACCACATTCTTGAGATTTTCTGCTTATTCCTGTGGTGTCTGAGGCAGATGCGTCCTACACTGGTGTAGGTCAGTGCACCTCTGTGCTGGGCTGCAGACGTGGTGACTGAGACCCATTGCATACCCTTAGTAAGTATAAACTAGGAGCACTTTTTGTGAATTTACGGCAAACGTTAACTATTTCAGTGATATAATGATGAGCCTAAAATGATTAAATGTTGCTCATGTTCTACTCAGATTAAAAACAGGGAAAATCTATTACAAGATTCATTTAATCTCTATTGGCTCTAGGCCTCATTTTTATTTAGAAGGAAAGGACATTCCAACACCATCAGCATTAAACACAGGCAACATAAAAAGTTATCACTAGCAACTTTATTATAAATAACACTTTGAAGAATATGAAACAAAGAAAGCGAATTCAAGCTTGCGTGTTACTTTTGAGTGCATACATGAGCTTTGAGCAGGTGAGAGATGGTCATTAATTACATTTCTTGACATCATCCTGACCTTCCTCCTGCAATTTTAAAGAGCTGTACTGATGACATATCAAGGCTTTTGAATTTTTTGCTATATCCAAGTAAAGTTTCTGTGTTCCGCCTTTCACCTGTTCTCGTCAGGTGCTTCAACTGGGCCATCACCACCTGGCATTGACACATACACGATGTTAACACAGTATTTGTCAACTAAAAAACCCTCTGCTAAGGTACACTTTAAAAATTTTTCATCTAATCTCAAGGGTTTTCTTGAGTCATACTAGAGGAAAGATGTGACATGGAAGAATTCATTGTTTGAAATTTAATTTGAAATGAAGTGTTCAAAGCAAACATTGCCCAGAGCTGCCTAGAAGATCTGCAATCTCAGATTGGAGTTTATGAGGGAGGATGCTATCTGCAAGGACAATAAAATGAGAAATATTTCTAAAGACTGAATAGCATCAGCCTCATAGCTGAGGAGATGCTTAACATTTTGGAAGTTCATGCAGAAGATATTACCTGGAAAACATCGAAGGGGTAAATGTGCTTCAGAAAATTCTGCCTTCTAATACATTCTTATAAAGAGGTTTGGAGTTACACTGCCCTCGACTGCCATTATTTACAAAGTTTCCTGGTGCTTTACAGCAAGTGTGGAGTAAAATCTTAGTCCCAGTTAAATTAATTGGAATATTGCTTTTTACTTCAATAAGCCTGGGATTTCACCCATCTACTACTTTCTGGCTTTTTTTTTTTTTTTCCTCCTGATTTAAGTTTTGCCACTAAAAGGGAAATATTGATAGATGTTTGTTAAAGGTTTTTAAAATACAGAAATATCATGGAAATCTTAGCCAAATTCAGGTGGAATATAGAAGGAAATTCAGAAGAATATTTTCATTTCCTATTTAAAGCAGGGGAAAAGGCACCTGAGGTATGATGGATAAAAATATGATGGAGAGAGTATCATAAAGTCCTTAACTTTTATATTTTCCGGTACAGGTATGCTTACATAAGAAAACTAAGCCAGTTTAACTTATTCAGAAGCAACTTTAAACTGGTGCAAGCTTTCCTTTGGACTCTTTCATTTCATTCCAAGAGACGTTTAATTTGATTTATCTTACACCTGTTTCTGGCAAGTTAAACCACATTGAAATAATTGCCTGACTGTCTTCCCTGCCTCCGAGGGGAAGCAAAGCCAGGCAGGGCTGCGGGAGGAAGGGACAGGACTGTGCTGTCAGAGCACCTGGAATGGGAAGGAGTAAGGGAAGGGGCAAATCACTGACTTTTGTAAAAAACCACCACACAAAGTGGTTGATGGGAACCAAAAAAATCAAAAGGAGCAAGACCATCAGTATGAACTTTAATCATTTCTGAAGCAACCTCCTAATGTTTGGGTGGCCTTTCTCTTTTTTGAGTCCCAAGACTGATTAGCAGGAGTGCACACTGTTTTTCTGAACGTTTCTTTGATGCTGACTAGCCAGTCACCACCAGCTGAAAATTGCTGTTTCATTGCTGCTCCGATCAGAGTAGGGTGGGACAAGTCAAATTGTCTTTGTGTTAGCAGCCAGGGATAGTCTTTCTTCAGCACAGTCCGTGTTGCTCACGGCTATCTAGTACACTCTATGTGAGGTTCAGATCCAGATAAACACAGCTAAATTTAGAAGTTTGCTTGTAGATGTTTACATATGTGATACGTGTCTGTACTTCCTGTATGGCCGGTCAAGACCTAGGGCTTAGCACAACTGAGTAAATAGCGGTGTCTGTGGTTACATGATATGCCCTGCTCTTCAGCTACTTCTCCTTAAGGGCACAGGCCCCCAGGTCTGTTAGCATATCTGCCAGCCCTAGTGGATGTCTCAGATACCTTAGACCATCTCAAATGGCACTGTACAAATTCAGGCAACTGAATCAAGCCATTTTCTGTATCAAGCCTAGAAAGTAAGCCAGCTGAGCAGCCAACGGGAGTCTTCTTGAAGGGTACCTGCACCACATTTGGTTGACTTGACTTGATCTCCTTGTGCTGCACAGGGAATTTAAACACCTGGTTCACATGTGGATTCCTAAGTTGAAATAATTGCCTGACTCTGAATTAAGACATTTGTCTTAATACAGAGCTGAATCCCACCCCATGTCTTTTTCTGATCTCCACTGGAGTTTGTGACATCTTTAACTTCTCCAGATTGGTTATATCATTCCTGAATTCCTACACAGACCCCAACAAGCCTTCTGCTTCCTCTGTTGGAGAGGGATTTCTTCTGTTCCACCTCCATGGACCCATGGCGGTGGGAGCTGCAAGGCACTGGTCACTTTACATCTAGAAGCAAATCTAGCTTTATAGTAGCCAACTATATATCAGCCAACTATGATCCATCTGTATAGTAGCCAAAGGCATTTTAAAATGTCAGAACATAAAACAGATGGAAGCTCAGTCTAGCCTAATATACTGTCCAACAGTGACACTAGCCAATAATGAACAGTTAGGGAAGACTGTAACAACAGGACAAGCATACAGCGGTATTTCTCCACAGTATTCTCTCAACCACCAATGATACACCAATGAATGTGGGGGTTCCCTGAGCCAGAAATGGAGTCTTTATATTAGTTAATCCTAGATTAAATTTTCTTCCATGAGTTTGTCCAGCTGGTTTTAAACCCATGTAGACTTCTAGCATCTTGTCACAAGGATTTCCACAGGTTAATGTGACAGTCTTTAAAGTACAGGTTATTTGCGCCCTTAATAATATAGTAACAGGGAAAAGCTGTCCATACGTGCGTTCAGAGAGAAAGCCGTACTGTTTGCAAGCAGGGATATTTGGACCTCAGCTTACTTGGGTGGTTAGGAAGAATGAAACAAGGCTATTTCCTACTGTTTTGGAACATACTAGGGAAGTTATCCAGCTTGTAGATACAACAGGTCTCTCTCGCTGCTCGCTTGCATGGGCCTGTTCACTTACTGGGCCAGTCCTCATTTTTAGGAGCTTCTCTTGGAGCAAAATGAGCATTCCTAGCCATCACAAAAGAAGCAAAACTCACATTGGCATGAACTTACTTTCAAAAGTTCTTCACCAGCAGATGTGACTTTAGAATACACTTGCATGTAAACATACAAAATACACAAAACCCTAAGAATTAAACCAGGTGTTTGTTATAATGACTCTCTAGGCTTTGAAAGAAGGTCAGGAAATTAGTGATGAGGTGAGGAGGAGCTTGTTCTGTCCTTTTCCACTTTACTTATACTGGAATGACTGCCCCAGTCGTCATGAAAGATTATGATGCTTTCTCGCAGTGCTCACGGGCCATCAGTCTGTTTCTTCTTCTCATCTCCCTTGAAATGCTGTTCTCGCTTAGAGGGCAGTTGGCTGATGAGTTCATGCAGAAGGCTCAGGCTCACAGTTCGAAGCTGTGACCTGAAGAAATAAATCCAACACTTGCTGTACTGCAGAGAACTTACCAGACTGCCAACGAGAAGAGTGCTTCTGAGCGTCCAGCACTATATTTTTCCTTTCCAGGAAATGGTACATAAGAGGAGTTGTGTCCAGAAACTCATTACTGCATGCCTGAACCACATAGTGTTTGTTCTTGTAGGAAATTAATATGTGTGTTTGTAAGTCCAAATGCTTCTTTCTACTGGGCTCTTGTCACTGAGGCAGCTCTGTTTCTTATTACCTTTTGTTTTCCTTATTTTTTTTCCTTTTCATAGGAAAGGTGCTATGAGGAAAGATGTGAAGGGGACACATTCTAGTCCATCTGCTGATTTGCACAGTTTGATACATAAGGCTTCCAAGTTCCTAGCTGAGGCATGACAGATTCTTCAAAATTGCTCCTCTGATCCATGTCTTTTTAAAAATACTACCCATGGTTCCCACCCTGGAGGCTCCTGAGGGAGTTTTTAAACACCAGTCCTGACCCCTAACTCAACCAGGATTCCCAGTGTCTAGGATTCCTGCCTACTGCAGGAGGAGTCTCTTCTTCATCCCTTCATTCAGCTCGTGTACATGTATGTGTTAACTGATTGGTACATGGACATTAATGCTTTCTGTAATATATTTCTTTCAGACATCATTGTTCTCATCGCTTCAATAGCAGTTGTTTCTGCAAAAACTCAGGGTAACATTTTTGCAACATCAGCACTGAGAAGTCTTCGTTTCCTACAGATCCTTCGTATGGTGCGCATGGACCGAAGAGGAGGCACTTGGAAATTATTAGGTTCAGTAGTTTATGCACATAGCAAGGTATGTAATCCTAGCTGCTGGGTTTGTCTGTTTGACTTTGTCATAAGATTCAATAAGAGTCCAAGGAAACAAATATTTACCAGTTTTGAGTAGAATACCTAAAATTTCTTGAGGTAACATTGATTGTTATAGCCATTAACATAGATACATCAGGCCATGTTAAAACACCAATAGTTTCTAGAATATGCCAGTAACACTGGACTTGAAATGCCGCTATAATTATCTATACATCAGTGAAGTTGCTCAAGTGTCAAGCTGTAGGAGTAGATTTGGTCAATTTTTAGAGAAAATTTGCATCAGCAGGGAAGCATTTGACTTTTAACTGCTCAGAGGATATAGACCTTTTAAGTGTGTCTTCCTTGAAATGCCGTTCTGTTTAGTCTTTAAATGGATATTGATCTCTGATTTTTTTTATCTAGGAATTAATCACAGCCTGGTACATAGGATTTTTAGTACTCATCTTTTCATCTTTCCTGGTTTATCTGGTGGAAAAAGATGCAAATAACCAGTTCTCTACATATGCAGATGCTCTCTGGTGGGGCACAGTAAGTACAGAAAAACAACATGCACTGGTTAGCCAATATGCTACAATCCTTTGCATTTCACCCCCTGTTCATTTTAACTTAGTGTGCTGTTCAGCGAATTGTTTTCTCTGGCAGAAAACTGGTCTGAGAAGTTCCCTCCTCCAGCTATTCATTTGCGCATCCATATTTCATTTTTACCCATCATGTAGAGTAGCTGTTTATGAGTTTCTGCTGGAGACCAGATCATTGAACCTCCGTGAGAAGAAAACATTTTGGTTTTGACCTAGATCCTTTCAATAGTACAGTTTATAATATGAGCCCTCAAAGAGCTGCCTTGATCCAAGTGAGAGGGCAGTAAGCTGCAATACAGGAGGAGGAACAAGCATCAGGAAAGAAAGAGGGACAGAAAATTCTTAAATCAGCTTTGCAGTGAAAGAAGAAGTATCATCAAATTACACTCTCAGAGTGAAGTTGATTCTCCCGCCCCCCCGTACCTTGAGCACAAAAAAATAAGAATAAATATTCTCATTCTGGTTCAGCACTGTTCTCTGACCACTTTTACAGGTGTAAAGCCCTGATTTAGTTGACTGCTTAAGCTCATGATTCGCTTTCAAATCAATTGCATTTATTTTGTTGAAGTCTGTGGGATCTAAGCATATGCCTGACTGCTTTTTTTTGAAAGAAAGAGGATTATATGAATGCTTACATGTTGAAATAAACTAGGCTTTAAATGAACAATGAAGAACTAGATGCGAGTGTTTGATTTTTTTTTAATGTCATAATGTATAGTTTTTTTGTTTTCATGGAAATAAAAGTGCCCTGTAGTGAGCTAGACCCTTTTGTCCCATGCTGCACTATGTGGGAGCCACTTAGGCAGCCTGGGAAACCTGCCCCAACAAAGCCTGTTGCAGAGCTATTGCCAGGCAGCATAAAACTGCTTTTTTTTCCCCTCTGATGCAGCAGAACAAACACCACGAGCTCTGACAGAGTGTCTGGGTAGTGAAATGCTGCCCATGAGATCATTAATGCAGACATAACCTGGAGCACTCGTTAGTTTTCCTAGGATAAGTGCGAGAGGCGAACCAGCTTCTGCCACCCCTCCTCGTGAGAGGGATGTAGAAATGAAGCTTTCTCACCTCAGACCTCTGCTGACAAGACTTCAGCTGGACTTAGTAGTATTTGCAGCAGAGAGACTGTGCGAAAGCATTTCCCAAAATGCTTTGAATCCTTGAGAAATACTTTCAATATGTTTTGTTTATATTTTGGGCAAAGGTCAAGGTCATTTCCTACTATTAGACCTTGTTTGTTTATTTGAAATTTGTTCGCCTAAGGGTCAATAATTTGTTACTTGTCTTCCCTTGAGATTGTATTTTTGAGTTGTCAGTGAGCAAAATTGGGAGCTTAGAGAAGCTGGGCCAAGTAGCTCTTACTTGCACATTTAGAAGAATACAGAAATATTTTTCCTGAAGCCTATTGCTTTAGAGCATTGAGGCAAATCTCTAATAAAATACACGTTCTTATCCTGCAATCCAAATGCCTGTGAGATTCATATTGACTTAAGCCACCAGAGCAGGCTTTGCCCTCAGTTACGCCACTGCGATTTATTTTGTGGTTTATCTGTCCGTAAGTGATAGTAAAATTTGGCTCCTCCAGGAGGAGTTTCACTTCTCTGCCAAAGCTGAGGTCCAGGTTTGGCCTAAAGCTTTCTGACCGGTCTGTACAGCTGTCATTGTGCAGCTGGTGGCTTGGGACACCAACGTCCCCGTGGATGGGGCACCAGCTCAGGTGACTTGAGGACGCACGTTTTCGGCCTCCCTGTTCCCCAGGAAATACCCTTTCCTCCCTACAGAGCTGTGTCACGTAGCACTGAAAAAATGGGGAGTTTGGCCTGAGGGCAGGATTGGGCCCCCCTGCCAGCAGGCAGTAGTGAGGGGACACGTACGTGCAAGCAATGGCGACGTCTCAGCAAATGCAGACCTCGACTGTGGCATCCGATTTAGGCTCATGTCAGAGCCAAGTCCTTCTCCCTGAGCAGATCTAGCCGTAGAAACGAGGCCTTTGTGTGATAATTTGCTTCCCCACTCTCTGCTGACTGCTGTTTTTTAAGGGAAAACCCTGCTAAGAAATAATCACTGCATAAAATGGTGCCTAAAATATTTTGTATACTTTGAAGTGAAAATGTGTGACTCATAGGTCAGATAAGTTGTGCAAACTGAGAAAATAGGAATCTTTTCTTGATATCAACAGGAAAAACAACAAATTATAATCAAAAGCCTGAAAAGTGTTGTACATTTTTTATATTTTTTCTTCTTTTCTCCAGTGTGTGACACGAATACATTTAAATTCTTAATGTGCTTAAGTGCACAAAGTCACTGAAAATCGGTGTTCCTCCTTACCTGTTATCTTTGCCATTTTAATAATAGTATTTTTTGTATAATATGTAAAACAGTATGTGGGAAATGCTTAACGTGGTTCTTAGTCATGGTTGTTTTTGCTGCCAGAGTAACCCACATACAGATTTTGAAAAGGTCAGATTGTATGGCATTCTAGGGGAAATCAATGCTTAGTCTCATTGATTTGTTTATTTGCAAAAGTTGCTCTAACATAAATCACAGAGTATCTACCAAATCCCAGACTGAATTCTGTGAAATTTCTGTGGAAAAAAAAAAAAAATGCACTGAAGTCAGTCATAAATAGCCACCTTAAATTTCATGCTTTTACAAACACTTATGTCCCCCTTATAAGACCAGACCCAGCACGCAGTATTTAACCCATTCATTAATTCAGATTACTTGAGAGCCATATCTTGCTATGCTCATTTCACTGACTCTGTTTTTAAAGCCCATAGTTTTACACTGAAGCTAAAGGTAGGATAGGATATACTAATTTGCACAGGAATACTGCACTGTATTTGCAATAAATTGCACACTGTACTGTGCAACTTGCAATTTCAACATCATGTTAATCTTACTATTGGGTATACTCTACTGGTTGGCATCACCAATTGCCGCTCAGCACAGCTTAAAGTGTGTGTTATATGAAGAGTTCAAGTTCAGAATTTAATAGGTGGGGAAGCTAAATTCATTTAATCGAATAAAGTAAGCAAACTATATGGGAACAAAAAGTCCATTCAAAGACTTAAGCATTTCGTAACCACTCTAGGCTTGATTTTCTGAGACCTGTTATATTAGCTAGGACCGACTGTGCCTATAGCAGCATTTAGTTTGTATATTAATTAATTTTACCTGAAAATGTACTTTAGATTCCTGTCTATCTGACACATTTGATAGCATTTTTCTTAATATGTCACCATTTTCTAGTAGTATCCAGCAGTTACAGTTGGATAAAGAGGGCTGTGGCATTCCGCAGTGACCTGTAGGTGAACAAAACAACTTAAAATGAATAATATTGCTCAATTACTAGCTCAAATGAGTTAATACTGATGAGGTATTTCACATTTAATGTGATGATAGTAGGAGCAAACTTCATATTTTCAGTTAATTAATGTCAGATAAAGATTCAAAAGGTCAGTACTGCCAACAGAACATACCACTATATCAGAAAAAAAGACTGGGGTAGAGGGGGCCTCCTGGGTCCCATCTCATCTAATTGGAGGCAATTACGTTATATAATATCACTTGTTATTATATTATCTCAGTTATTATTAGTATATTTATTAGCTCTAGCAATGAGATAGACACAAATCTATCTTCGTGATTTATGAGTCTAGCTAGGTGACACTGCTTTTCTTCGCTGATTTGTTCAGACAATTCATTTACAGAAACAACCAAAATGCTCATTTTGCATCTGATATGGAAGACGAGTCCTCTGACCCATTTAGCGATGCAGGAGTTAGCAGTGTGATTCAGCTGGTTAAACACAGGCATATAGCGCCAATAGGTTGAACTTCCAACCTACTGGAGACGTGTGTCTCTTCTGCCACCGATCCCTGTTCAGATGCCCGAAGGCATCTCAGATGGCCCTGGAAATCTGTTTTGAGACTAGCCAGAGTGAAGTGCTAGGTTTTAGAACAGGATGAATTACATGCTGGAGGAATCTCCCTCTCCCTTGTACAAGTCTGGACAACGAGGTCAGGCTAAAACCTAAGTAATTTAGATGCTTCGAGTTAGGTGAGATGAATCCTAGCCAAAGAAACTCCAACAATTGCTTTCAATTTGTTGAGGTATCCCCTTGCCAGCCTAGCCTAGGGAGCTTGTTAAGACGTGAGGGGTAGATACCGGTGCTCTCAGGCCTGCAACAGACACTGACATGGTGCTACAGGGTGCTCGATCCGCCCATGGGGACGCTTCTCTGGTTAGCCAGGGGAAGTACCCCACCACCCCTCGTCCCCCTGGCCACAAAAAGCAGGTTGCACTGGCATGGTGTGATCAGAACAACAGGTTTGTTTCATTGCCCTAATTTAGGCTGCCGGCACTCAGAGACAGGGCTGCCCAGCAGGTATCCACAGAAAAACATGATTTGCACACTTTATTATCCCTTTTCCCGTTTCTTGATCCTCCTTTTCACTGCCTTCCTTTTCCCCACCCCAGTCTCCTTCCAGATAAACAACCTGCCCCGATTCCTTTTTCCCTATTTGTGCCAATTTTGCTACATCCATACCCCGATTTCGTATTTCTGATACTTGGCCTTACATGGTATTAACTGATGCAGTTGCCTACTGCTGGTCGCCTTGCAAGACTGTACTCCTCACAAGGTCGCCAGTATTCCCCTCCAGTTATCTTTGAACTTTGGCCATTTCTCCCTTAACCACCTGGGAGATCCAGCCTTCCCTCATAGCGCTTTCTGTAACTTTTGTCAGCTTCTCACATTGTCTGTTATGTCTGGCAGTTTCTCATGTTGCCATGGTCTCATGTCCAGGTGTTTTCCACACCCAGTTAGTTTAACCCCAGAGTTATGCCAATCGAGGCCTAAGTCAGTGGCTTAGTCATTTGCCTGCAGTCCTAACAAAGATGCTGATGTTTATTCTTGAACCTGACCTTGAAGTTGACTGGGGAGATACTTTCTCAGTTGTGGACCAAAGAAGTATAAAGGGAAAATCAAATCCATTTGTCTAATGTTGAGCAAGATGATATGGCACAGTGCTGACAGCTATCTGCCCACAGAAAGACTATCCTAGTCTACCCAGATAAAATAGCTCAAAGTGAGCAGGGACCCGCTGATACTCTTAATCATAGACTGATACTATCAGGTGTTCAGGACCTAAATGAATGGGGAAAAAAAGGCTTTCATGTGGTCTTACTATTTCTGTGGAGAAATTCCAGAGATATAGCCTGCTTGGCTCTTGTTTCTGGATCACTCTCAGATGTGAAATCCCAAAGGTTCAAGATTATCTGTGATTTCTTTGGAAGACTGGTAGGTGGTAATATCATTAATATGCAGATGACACTTAATTCTGTTTCCTTCTTGTCAACCCAAGCAGGAGATAGCTCTGTACTTTGCAGCGTCTGGCAGAGATAGGGAGCTGGATGGAAGCCAAGGAACTGGGCTCATTCCAGAGCTTCAAACTGCTTCACAATGACTGACCTGGAAATGAGTTTTGAGGAACTTTTATTCATGGATTAATTTGTTTAAATGCTTCATTACTCTCTGGGTCTTAATAGCTTCAAACTGTTCTGCACTTGCCCTGTAATGAGAAGAGTTGGGAATACCCTGTTCAGAAAACAAAAGAAAACCAAACCAAACCCTTCTGCCAGGCCAAGAATGTGGTTGCATGAGCTCACCTCTGCCAAAAAAAAAAGGGAGCTGCATTCCCATCTCCCTTCCTTATTGCCCAGTCTCAGCAATGCATTTCCTCTGACTACTTTGTGCAGGCTCTGGTGCTCGTTAGATGCTTCCATGAGTGCGTTCAGCTCACTGAAGAAGCAAAAACAAACCATACAAAAACATGGATAATTCTCACCACTTTACTGGGTTATGTTGGCTTTCTGAAGGATCCTGCAAAAGCCAGGAAAAAGAGGCAGGGCAGGACAGTAGAGAGGAGAAGAAGAGAGAGTGACACCTGATGTGGCAGCAGGAAGCTAGTTGGCTCAGGTGCCTTGGAGCCACCTAAGGTGGCCTTTATTACAGGTGAGAGCTGTGATGCCTCCAGGCTAGCTAACATTACTAAACTTTAGACTTGACAGCCACTTGAAATTACAGCTACAGCCTTAGTTCAGCTGATTCTCTTTCAGTCACTATGGCTTTCTCAGGATAAATTCCACCCACAGTTTGTTCCCAATAACGCGAGCAATTAAGGCACTGTTTACTATCTACAAAGCCCCAAACAACTGAAATCTAATTACCTCCAAAAGACTTTGCTTCTTTTGTCCTGTGGTGACCCCTGCATTAAGTAGAATTGCTTTGGACCTCTTTCCTAGGAATGAACTTTGAGGCAGCTGGAAGCAAAGTATTGTCTCTAGAAGGCATTTTTTGAAGAATTAATTTCTGCCAGAATATTTGCTAAGGCTGAACTTGCCCACGTTTGGTACATTATGTAAAATAATTCTCTCTGCCCAAGTTCTCCACAAATAACAGGCCCAGGAATCCTTGGCATTTGTCCTATTGTTGTCTATCTTTGTCCTTTAACATTGTGTGCCTGTGTCTGGGCGTGCGCGTTCCAGCTGGACTTCAGAAGTCCACAGCTCGGTGTCTGTGCTTGTGCTGCTTGCATGAGGCATGAGGATTTGAACTCCCCAAGAGGGAAGTACAGAGAAGTGAATTTCTCCTGCTGGACCGGTCCCAGAGTTTGGGACTGCCGCGCTTTTCAGGCCAGGAGGTGCAGAACTTGTCTGGAGGACATTCTATTGGGTTGTTGAAGACCCCCAACTGCATGCAAACATGAAGTCGTAATCATTTGGTTTATTTTACCTTTGAGATATGCTCAGTAACCACAGCCCAACAATGGCATCCCAGTGGCATTTGGAATATATGCAGCACTTCTATGTGTTCAATGAATTGTTGATAATAACAGCTCTGTATTCTGGAGAGGACTCCCACACGTACTGAATTCTGCCATAATCTGTATTGTTGCTATACAATAGTGGTGCTGTACAGTTTTTGAAAAATCTGCATGCTGTATGCCTTTGAGAGAAGGAGCCGTGAAGGGCTTACAGGTGCCCTCCTCTTTCTTTTTCACCCATCCCCACACACATCTGAGCTAATATTGTCCAACAGCCTGAGGTACCTTCTGGTGCTGTGTAGTATTCTTTGGATCTTCATGATAGCAATGGTATAGGTATATCTGACCTTGTCATAAGGAAGAGGAAGGAATCAGGATATTCTTAAGGTTCTTCTCCAGAAGATGATCTAGCACAAATTTCTACAACGGGCTTGTAGAAAATGCAGCTTCTTCGGTTTTATCTTGTGTGAGCTTCAACTTCCTTTTAGCCCTATTATATTTTTCCAGTATGATCTTTGTATAATTTCATATTTGTGTAATTGTGCAAATATCTACAGTTTGCTATACATTTTTGCTGAAAATAGGTGGAACACCTTTACATGTACTGAAAAGGACATTTTTTCTGAGTGATTCACTTCATTTCCATTCACTTGCCCAGACTTTGTGATCCTAAACCTTCTGTTTTATTATTTTTAAAGCTCGTTTATTGCTTATTCGGATGTTTATCTCATATTTATTATTTATCTCAGTTTATTCCGTCACAGAGAGTATTGAGTCTTCATAGAAAAATGTATTCATATCAATTTGTTTCTGTATTTTTTTCCTTTAGAAACAATTATGTATATTTCATGTGTTTTGGTGAATGACTACTTAGTGGAAATGGTGTTTCATGCAATGTATTTTATCCCCAGCTAATCTATCACGAACTTCAGTAATCCATGATGTTCGTTCATTTCTTTTTAGATCACCTTGACAACCATTGGCTATGGAGACAAAACTCCTCTTACTTGGCTTGGAAGGTTGCTTTCTGCAGGATTTGCTCTCCTTGGCATTTCTTTCTTTGCACTACCTGCTGTGAGTAGCCTTACAAAATTTGTAAAACATAATACAAACTTCAGTAGCTCCTGCTGCTGTTACAGTACAAAAAGCTGAAGGAAGCTTTCCACATGAAGAGCAACTGCTTAATGCTTTTTTCTCTATGACAACACTGGTGAAGTCCAAATGAAAGGTTTGCTGTTGCTGTCATTGCCCGACATTTTGGGAGTTTGGCAAGAACAAAACTGGGAAATAATCCTAAATTACGTAGCACACCACTTTGTAAGGATGAAGTTCTTTTCTTTTCTTATGAATTGTGGCTTATATATTACTGCTTTTCATTTAGAGTTTTGAAATAATTCAGCTGATATGTCTTTCTGAATTAGAGTCTACTGAAAAAAGTGGAATATTTCTAGTAGGTTGTCCAGTATGCCCATGTTCAAGCTACCAGTTTACAGCAGCAGAAGGCGTTAATTCAAGCAAAATTTAGTAAAGTTAAATGCAAAAAATGCAATTATTGTTTTCTGTGAATGATAATAAGTAGATATGACAGTTTATTTTTAGTACTTTTATTACTATTAAAGAGACTTCAATGCAAATGGGAATCATCTAATGACTAAAAGCTCCACAAATAACATTTCATTTTTGTAAGTGTAGTATCCAACTGTGAAAGACTGAATTTCCTTTCTTTTTAAAGTGAGTATTGAATAAGCATGAAATCAGAAGTGACATTTGTTTTTGTTGTATTACATCCAGCACAATACATATGGAAAATCAGTATTTTAATATTGAGATTCATTGCCTATAGATCATTAGAAAATATGTAGGTTACAATAATACATGTGTTTTTAACCATACAGACAACCCAACATTGAAAGTCAGCATTTGCCAAGACGACTGAATCATCTAGAATGCTACATTCATTTCTTGCTTTAAGTACAGAGAGTATTTTAGTATCTCTGACATATCACAATGTATTATATAATACATTACCTGTTTGTGAATCTTGACATTTAATGGCAGCTACTGTAATTAATTCTCTTTGTTACCTAGTCACCATTGACAGGAAAGGCAGTCTTAGCAGGACTACTACGGAGTAAATCGACTGAACATACGCAAAACAAATAACCTTGCATATTAGAGATGTCAGAACTTTTACTCCTCATGTCATATCTATATAGAGATACTCATTTTCCTAACACACACTTCTGCGTTGAATCAGTTTGCAAAAAAAGAGATATGTGCAAATCTTCTCTGCACTTCTTGTATTACTTTATCCTGACTAAGAATCAAGTGGAAATATTGTTGCTTAAAATGCAGACATGTCCAGTAGAAGCATTACACTCCT